TTGCTCTAATTACATGTGGGTGCTCCATCAATTATTATGAAATATTTTGTATGATAAAACTTGACTGATTTCACATTATTAACAAGCATTTCAACATTATGTCATAAACAAAAGAAACGGAAGGCCTGTTAGATTCTTTTTTAGATATAGCTTCAAATATTGTAAAGTTATGATATTTTCCTAAAACACCACATACGAAATTAAAAGACTGTCTGTTTGGACTGCTAGAGCAAAATACCATAAACTGGGTGGCTTATAAACAGAAAGTTATTTCTCACAGTTCTAGAGGCTGGGAAATCCAAAACCAAGTCAGAATCAGAGTCAGGTGAGGACCTGCTTTCCGATTCATAGATGGTTCCTCACATGATGGAAGAGACAATGGGTCTCTTGGAGGCCTATTTCATAAGGGCACTATTTGATTCATGAAAGCTCCACCCTCATGATCTAATTACCTCTGAAAGGCCCCACTTACTAAAACTATCATCTTGGGAGTTAGAATCTCAATATGTGAATTTTGGGGCAACATAAACATTCATACCATAGAAAAGAGAAGCATCAAAATGGGGAAAATATTTGTAACACATATGGCAGGTAAGTGGCTGATGACCTTAATACAGAGAGAGCTTTTCAAATCAATAGGGAAAATAAGTTCACGCTATTTGTCATTGCTTTACAAATGCTTCTTCTAAGGGTGGGGCATTTGAAAGGTGTTTGCAGTAATCTGCAGACAGATAACTTCTTGGTGTCACCTATGGTTGCACAGTCTCCTGTGTATACTAGATGCTAAAGGATTACTTGATAGCTGTGAGATGGCAGTCACTGAACAAGGCCCTTCCACTTTGTCCCTTGGCCTTCCCATCAGCACAAAGAGGAACTTGAGTTAGATGAATACCTGGTTCCATTCCAGATCTGGTTCCCTATGACTTTTTTTTTTTTTTTGAGTTAACATACTATAAAATTCACCATGTAAAAATGTACAATTTGGTGGTGTTTGGTATATTCACAGATCTCTGCAACCATTACCACTCATTTTGGAAGATTTTCATCACCCCAAAAAGAAACCCTATATGCATTAGCTGTCACTTCTCATTCTCCCCCCTCTCCAGCACTGGCAACCACTAATCTACTTTCTGGATTTGCTTCTTCAGGACATTTCACACAAATTAAATAATGCAATATATGGCCTTTTGTGTCCAGCTTCTTTTACTTAGCATAATGTTTTCAAGGTTCACCCATGTTGTAGCATGTATCAGGACTCCAGTGTTTTTATGAATTAATAACACTTCATTGTATGAATACTATATTTTATTGGTTCATCACTTGATGGATCTTTAGGCTGTTTCCATGTTTATGCTATTATGAACAATGACTTTTTTGTGGTGCCCAAGAGATTTCCATGTGAGAAGCAGAAGATAAAGGTGGAGTAGGTGGGAAAGGCTGGCATTAGTAAGCTCAATCCTTTTCCAAAATCAATAGCAGGGTATAAGTGTTATTGCAAGATAAGCAATATCGTCATCAGTTGTTCTCAAAAATAGTCTTTCTCCAGGCCTGAGAAGTCAAGGGAAGCCTGTGGTACAGATTGTCGAACAGCGCCTGGCACACAGATGTACCCAGCATGTGCCAGCCACATAGGAGGCTCCCGTGGGTGTTAGATGGATGAAGGAAAGACTACAGAAATAGCCCAAGAAAAGAAAAAGGAACTTTTGTCTCCAGTGCAACTTCAATAATCCACAGCACAAATCATTCTCAAGGAAGGAGGGAACAACAAAGAGGAAGTTTCCATAACCCCCTTGCACCAAAGGTTCAAAATCAGGCTACATTCAAATAGCTGGTTGTCTGACACCTAACCACATACATTCAGCTCAAGGGGAAAGGATAACAACATTGCTTGCTGGACTGCATCAGTGAGCTCAGTCTCCTGCCCTTTCTCAGTTCTTCCCCAGCTGCCATGTTGTTACTGGCCCAATAGAGAGGTCACACCCCAGAGAGAGACAGTCATCAAGGGACTTCAGTTGTGTCTGCCAGGATGTTTGAGGAAATATTCTCTACTTAAAGGATAAGAATGAAGTCTTCTTTTGTGGCTTTTTCAGGAATCACCTTTGTGCCTGGGACCCCCCAGATGACTGCCAAGGATATTCTGTATCGATTACATATGTCTAAGGCCCAGTGCATAGTAGTCAATGAGCCTATGGCCTCCATCGTGGATTCTGTCCTGTCCAGCTGCCCCACCTTGAAGACCAGGCTTCTGGTGTCAACTAAGAGCTACGATGGGTGGTTGGATTTCAAGGAGCTGATTCGGTGAGCAGGCACTGAAAATGAGATGCTTAAATCAAGAAAGTATCTGATTTTGGAAGATGGATGATGTATGAGAAGGTGGTGTGAATAGACAGAATGGGACACTGGACAGCAATTTCTAGTCCTGAAGCCGGTTCCCCCCAGCAGAAGAATCCCTTGCCCGTTTTACAAGCTCTCAGTCTGAGTGAAAATCTTATCTCCCGGTTCATAGTTGAGCACTGATTCTGGGACAGGGTAAAAAAGTAGGTGATAGAAATATAAATGACAAGTAAACACATTAAAAAACAAAACAAAAACACTCACCCTCACTGGCATATGGGGAAATACCTATTAAAACAATGACATGATACCATTTCATCTTCAGGTTAGCCAAATACTAAGTTTGATAGTCATTAATGTGTTCTCTCGAGAGCAGCATTTCAGTGTCCAGAGATGTAAAAGTGAATGAGACAGGCAAAGTCCCTGTCATCTGGAAACTCACACTCTAGACAACAAAATGAACAAACAAAAACACACAATGAAGATAATGCAGATTACAAAAAAAGATCCCAAACAGAATGGCACATGGGATAGGATGACCTGATGTGGAGATGGGGGAATTATTTTAGATTTGGTGGCTTCTGAGGGGAGGACATTTAAGCTGAGATTTGAACATCAGCAGCCAGCCTTTGGAAGATCTGTGGGACTAACGCTCCTGGCAGAAGAAACACTGAGGTGAAGGAGGGAGCAGGAATGAGCTCGACCTGTTCCAGCAGCAGGAAGAACACCAGGGTGCCTGAAGGTGAAGTGTGGTGAGGGGGGGAGTCACAGGAAGGGGAGAGTGCAGCAGGTCATGGCGGGGTGGGGAGTGGGCCAGCCTGGGAAACACGAAGGGAAGGATTTGATCCATAGGACACTTTAAAAAGTGCACTCTTAGGCCGGCCCGTGGCTCACTCGGTAGAGTGCGGTGCTGATAACACGAAGGCCACGGGTTCGGATCCTATATAGGGATGGCCGGTTCGCTCACTGGCTGAGCGTGGTGCTGACCACACCAAGTCAAGGGTTAAGATCCCCTTACCGGTCATCTTTAAAAAAAAAAAAGTGCACTCTGGCTGCTGTATGAACAATGAGAGACAAGAGAGGTAGCAGAGACCTGGCAGGAGGCTGCAGCAGTTGTCCAGGTGAGAGGCCTCCCTGATGTAGATCGAGGTGGTGGCAGTGGAGACAGGCTGGGAGAAGATGAGGTAAACAAGGAACTCGCCTCGGGCACAAAATTTAAAAGGGCACCAAAAAATTTAGTGATCAAAAGAAATAATAGTTTAGTTTAAAAATAAAATGTTTAAATATTAATTTAAACTCTAAAACAATTTTTTAATTTAATTTTAAAATGTATATATAATTTGAAGTATTTTGTATATTTATATTGTGTCTATAATTTATCATTTTTTGATGTATAATAATTTATATATTCATAATTTTACATATATTTTATTTATATAATAATTTTCTAATTTATAAAATCTGATTGGCAAACTTCAGCTGACAGACTGGCTGCCTGTTTTTATAAATACAGTTTTATTGGAGCCAGGGACAGAATTAGGATGACCAAGTGAAGCAAGTCATGCAAGTCCTGGGCTGGATACTGTATTTATTTAAAATTTTGATATTTTGTTTATCATTAATTTTTGCATTCGTTTTGTTTTTAAAAAATATTTCACTAAAATATTATTTATCCTGACTAGCGAATTTGTTGGTGTCTCCTTAATTGCCTGTGGCAAATGTTTCTCTCGCTTCACTGTGGACCCAGCCCTGAGTTGAGAGTGAAAAGAGACACATTCATGACATGTTGTCAGAGCCTGCCAATGGTCAGGATGAGGGGTGGATAGGTAGATAGATAGAGAGACAAAAAGGATCTTTTTGTCTTGATTTTTGGCTTGAGCAAACGGTGAGTAAGGATGTTTTACCGAGAAAAACCAGGCTGGAGGGTAAATGCATCTTATATTTTTCATGCAACAAAAATCAATACAAAATTTTTTTTAAAGGAAAAAAATGGCAGCTGCCCCACTAACAAATCATCCCCCAGTGTACCAAGCTATGGGCTGTTGTTTTCAAAAGGCACAGATTATCAAACCAGGGACCTTGGCTCTAAGAGAACCTGAATTTAGAACTCACTGTTGCCTCTTCATGACTTACAGAATTGCTCCTCCCAAGCAGACCTGTGTGGGGACCAAGAGTCAAGATCCAATGGCCATATTCTTCACCAACAGGACAACGGGAGCTCCCAAGCTGGTCGAGTATTCCCAATATGGTTTGGGAATGGGATGTAGCCAGGCTTCAAGGTACAGTCCTGACACGGCCAGTACACACACAAAAGCTGCTCTCTTCAGGGTGAAGGGAGAGTTTCATGGGACTAAAGTAAGAAAGGAGTTTCTTGCCCAAAGCTACAGAAAATGTCAATATTGAGAGAAGGAACAGGGCTGAATGCAGGGTGGGAGGGTGTACACAAAAGGATCAAAAGCAAATTACTGTAGACCAGAAATGTAAGAGTCTACAGAACTAGAGCAAGAGCAGTGGGTCCATGTGGCTGGTGAGGGATCCAGGGTGATTATCCAAAAGACAAAAAGTTGCTTGTTCTTCTATGTTACCAGCACCACAGTGAGCAACTGGGTTGACCACTATGTGCAGTGATAAACACGGAGGTACGGTCACAACTCGTGAGGGGTTTGGGTTCCGGAGTCAGCCTCTAAGATGGAAAAAAACCCCAAAACTTTAAATAGCTCATGGATACTGTACCATCTCTTGGCAAATCCAATATAGTCAGTTTTTCTTCCTGCAGTGAAACTGATTTCAATTCCTTTGGTTGAACAAAGAAGTAATCAGCTTGCATTTGTTCTAGGTTGGTGGGTCTGGGGTTTAGCTTCCCAAGCTTGCATTCAGTTCTGCCTCATATAAACAGCGTGTGTTTTGACTCCATGCTCAAGTTCTCTTAAACTCTACTCTAGAGTCTCTCAGGGGAAATAGATGTTTGTGTTGCCACCCTCGCCTCAAAGTCCTTGACTCTTATTAACTATAATGGTCAGTGGAGATCAGTTAGAGAATTAGAATAGGAGAAACTGAGATCATTCATTTATTAAAATCCATTAATTAGTAAAAATACCTACTGGATAACTTCCAAGACCCCCTAAAGCCGTGGGACCTGAAAGACAACGTCATGCCAATTAAGATATATACTGACAGAATTCAAGANTGGGCTGTGTGGGGCAAAGGCTAGAAACAGGGCATTACCAGTAGCCCAGTGACCCATGCCCCAAATGGGGCGAATCAAGAATTAGATTGGGAATGTGATCTTGACTTGAGGATGTTCTCCCTACTTCTGAGAGCAATGACCTTGCTTCTCTAGACCCTTTGGAATTAGGATTTGGCTACTCCAGTTGTATCACTGAAAAGGAAACTTTCAAATGGCAGTAATGATAATGAAGGCGATAATAATAATATCAGCTACCATTTATTGACTATTTACTGGCACTTTATATGCATCCTTTCATATCACCTCCCCAACAACCCCATGAGGTAGTAACTGGGGAAACTGAGGCTCAGAGAGGTTAAGTAACTAGCCCAAGGAATTTCCAGAAGTGGAACTGGAAATCTAACCCTGATCTACTGGACTCCAGAGCACAATCTTTGATCTCTAAACTGCCTCCACAATACAAAATTTTACTGCCAATATATATTTGGCAGGCTTATTATTTAAAGCAACAGAGATCTAAACAAGAGGCTTTGGCGATCCAGATTTAAATGCACAGCTCTGTATCTACTTGTTATCGAGTGATTACATGATAGCTCAGAGATCCTGATAGCCAAAGCTAAATTCTCTTCCAAGGCTCATGCCTGGAGGGTTAGGACTCACCAAATCCTCAAGATAAAGGTGAGTCTCAAAGTTAGTGATCCTCCCCCTTGGACCTTTTCCCTCAACAGTCTCACTGTCTTTCTTATCTTCACATATAGATTTGGTTTTTCCTTTCTGGGGGCCCAGGCCCTGTCCAGGTTTCCCATCACCACTCTCTGTGGGAATCCAGGGATGTACCAGGAGCTGCTTCACCACAAGTGTTTCACCAGGTAAAACCGGATCTCTCAGAAGCGAGCCCATTTCCACCGATGGTACCATGAATGAAACTAGAACCTTAGTGTATTGAAGTAGATTTAATCTTACCCTTCGTTAACACACCCGTCTTACTGCCATTTATGACAATAACTCCATTAAGTGAGGGGTTTTCTATTCCCTTGTGATTTTTGAAGTTTACATCTTCTGGCCCCACAGGAGTCCAGAATATAAAGCTTAATTATAATGAGAAGATTGGATTTAATTAATTTGTAATTACACCAGCCTTTAAGAAGGTAAACATTAAAGACAAAATTTTTTAAAAAGGTAAACTTTAAAGACAAAGACCACCTCCCCTGTTGGATATAAATTCTTCTAGGCCTTTTAAAAATAAATTCATATCTATATCTATACCTATGAATGTATCCACTCCCATAGAAATGTATTATAATATTGGGGAAGGTTTAAATAGATGGCATCATACTGTATATCTTGTGCTGAAATTTGCAATTGTATTTCCCATGGTACCTTAGAGCTCTATTCATGATAGTATGTGTAATATATATCAAATATTGCATAGTGTTCCTTAGCATGGATTAATAATTGTAGTTGAATGAGCCAAGTACTTATCCAAGATATCTGGATCTTTTCCAAGCTGCTGAAATGAGCATCTTTGCACATACCCTAGAATTTCCTAGGGAACTCACTGAGAAATAGAACTACTAATCATCACCAATGAAAATTAATGAGAAATAGCAGGTTCCAAAGCATTGTATCAAGCCTTAGAGTTTGCTAAATAATCATTTACCTCTAAATTTCACTTTAGCTTTGTGGACAAGGACATATATTCTACAGAAGAAAGCATTTGTGGTAGGAAATGATACCTGCATATTGTTATGATGGCATGAAGAAATACCTAGTTCATTGGCATTTTATGGAACAGAGAAAAATGTTCTGTTTCAGATATGGCATATGTTCATTCATTAACATGCCATCACCATATAAAATGTCTAGATGTCTCTTATTCTCTTAAAAGAAAAGCATTTAAAATTTAAAAATCATCAACTTCCACTTGTACCATGAAATTAATAATACAAAGGCAATGACATAATGGTGCCCTTGGAAACAGTCCTCTAATTTTAATTTTTCTTTGTTTCAAGACCTGACTGGGTAGGCAGATATTATCTAATATAGACAAGCTCCCAGGTAACCATTAATCAACACTGTCATGTTCAAAATACATTGAGCCACCCTCCATCTTTCAGAGACCACANAGAATTAGAATAGGAGAAACTGAGATCATTCATTTATTAAAATCCATTAATTAGTAAAAATACCTACTGGATAACTTCCAAGACCCCCTAAAGCCGTGGGACCTGAAAGACAACGTCATGCCAATTAAGATATATACTGACAGAATTCAAGAGGATTCTATTGGCCTCATGGCCTCATAAATAGACCATTGCTTGTTCTCATTTGGGTGTTCTTTGTTTATCTCTGGGGGGTAGTGCTTGAGAACTAGTAACTAATTATAATGAGAAGATTGGATTTAATTAATTTGTAATTACACCAGCCTTTAAGAAGGTAAACATTAAAGACAAAATTTTTTAAAAAGGTAAACTTTAAAGACAAAGACCACCTCCCCTGTTGGATATAAATTCTTCTAGGCCTTTTAAAAATAAATTCATATCTATATCTATACCTATGAATGTATCCACTCCCATAGAAATGTATTATAATATTGGGGAAGGTTTAAATAGATGGCATCATACTGTATATCTTGTGCTGAAATTTGCAATTGTATTTCCCATGGTACCTTAGAGCTCTATTCATAATAGTATGTGTAATATATATCAAATATTGCATAGTGTTCCTTAGCATGGATTAATAATTGTAGTTGAATGAGCCAAGTACTTATCCAAGATATCTGGATCTTTTCCAAGCTGCTGAAATGAGCATCTTTGCACATACCCTAGAATTTCCTAGGGAACTCACTGAGAAATAGAACTACTAATCATCACCAATGAAAATTAATGAGAAATAGCAGGTTCCAAAGCATTGTATCAAGCCTTAGAGTTTGCTAAATAATCATTTACCTCTAAATTTCACTTTAGCTTTGTGGACAAGGACATATATTCTACAGAAGAAAGCATTTGTGGTAGGAAATGATACCTGCATATTGTTATGATGGCATGAAGAAATACCTAGTTCATTGGCATTTTATGGAACAGAGAAAAATAGTTCTGTTTCAGATATGGCATATGTTCATTCATTAACATGCCATCACCATATAAAATGTCTAGATGTCTCTTATTCTCTTAAAAGAAAAGCATTTAAAATTTAAAAATCATCAACTTCCACTTGTACCATGAAATTAATAATACAAAGGCAATGACATAATGGTGCCCTTGGAAACAGTCCTCTAATTTTAATTTTTCTTTGTTTCAAGACCTGACTGGGTAGGCAGATATTATCTAATATAGACAAGCTCCCAGGTAACCATTAATCAACACTGTCATGTTCAAAATACATTGAGCCACCCTCCATCTTTCAGAGACCACAGTTATGTTCCAATATTCTTCCTACACCTGACCTTTCCACCACATTAATCAACACTGTCATGTTCAAAATACATTGAGCCACCCTCCATCTTTCAGAGACCACAAACAGTTATGTTCCAATATTCTTCCTACACCTGACCTTTCCACCGTCACCAAATCAAATACACATAAAGTGAATTATGGGTTTATAGAAGGTGTTCAATACTATCGTATCTACGCTTGGACTCCATGGAAAGTTATCATTATATCCAGAGACTTTGAGCCCAGTTTGTAAAATCAGCGGCTCTCTTTCCATCCCCAGACTTCAGAAAATTAGTTTCTGCCCCTTCTTGCCATTTCTGACACATTCTTCATATACAGTTCAGGCTTTGGCAGAGGTAAGGGAACTCATAAGCTTGATCAAACTGGGGTGCCTAAATAGATAATCTAATAGAATAGTAATAAGAACATCAAGTACCACCTAATGAGTACCTCCCTGGCAATATCTGCATCATTTTTCCAAGATTCTTTCTTACAACAGACCTGTTATTGGTAGAAATATTCACCAAGCCTAAGAATAAGTTTTGATGCCTCTCCAGCTACAGATTCAAGAGTCTGAAGCATTGTGTGGCTGCAGGAGGATCTATCAGCACTGGAGTGACTGAGGAATGGAAACGCATCACTAAGTTGGACATCTATGAAGGCTATGGGCAGACTGAGACTGTAAGTTGATGCTGAGTCACCGTTTATCTAGATAGCCAAACTTTTCCATCCACTATGTAAGCACATTGTCAAAGCACCAGGGACACACTAGAAATGCAGAAAGCTAGATCTTGAACACAGAGAGAAAAGAGAAAAATCAGTTTAAACTAGAGGGATCCCTCTTCTATTGTAAGACAAAGAAATATGGGTACAGATGAATGTAAGCTTGTAGATTTCACAGCAGGAAGTAGAGCTAGTTTTTACCCAACAACTCCTATCTTCTCTGTGAAGTATGAGGCAATGTCATCTGATGAGCATGAGGAAATGGTGGGGTACAAGTCTACATGGACAATGTTTAAAATTATAGTTGCTGAAAATAGGAGAGCAGATTATGGAAATAAAGAAGAAATGGGTACTGATAAGGGCACATTTGAGGCTGGTGAGCATTCATCTTCAAAGTCGCTATCTATGAAGTTGTGTGATTTTCTCCAATATTTCTCTAAAACACAGATACAAACATGGTGAAAGTGGACAGTTGGATTGAACCAGAATTAAGGTTTGCCAGGAAGGTGCAATTAAAAGGCAGTGGTCAAGGGATCTAGGGATATTGGAAAGAAAATGGTTAAAATGAAAGATTAAGTATTGAAGCTGATTAGGGAAGGAAGTGAATTCAGGAAAAGGAGGATCGATGGTGAGAAGACAAGGCACTGGAGATGTCAATAGAGCTGGAAGGACAGAAAGCTGTCTTAGTCTCTTCAGGCTACTATAACAAAATACATAGACTGTGTGGCTTAAACAACTGAAATTTATTTTTCTCACAGTTCTAGAGGTTGAAAGTCCAACTTCAGAGTGCCAGCATGGTCAAGTTCCACTGAGAGTCCTCTTCCAGGTTGTAGGCTGCTCACTTCTCATGGCGTCTTCACATGACAGAGAGAGAGCGTGCACATGCACTCTTTGGTGTCTCCTCTTAAAAGGGCACTAATCCCATAATGAAGATCCCACCCTCATGACCTCATCTAAACAAAGTTACCTCCCAAAGATCCCATCTCCAAATACCATCACATTGGAGAGTAAGGCTTTAGTACATAAATTGAGGGGAGGTGGGGGAGGGGCCACAATTTAGTCCATAACAATAGTAGTCAAAAAGTGAGATGCATGGACTTCAGATTTGAGAGGCGGAATACTTATAGGTGATGCCAAATGCAAGGGCATGGCCACAGGTAGACTAAGTATCATGAAACTCCTTAGAGATAAGGATCAAGGAAGGAAGACACCATGGTGTAGAAATGATCATTTATATAGATGTAGAAGGCACTCAGGATGATGGTAGGACATGGAGGAAGAGAGGAGATCATGAACCTCATGCTGAAGCCTTTAACAGATAATGAATCACTGGGAAGTTGGTAAGTTACAGCAACCAGGAGTGGTACAGGGTGGTAAAGGTACATGGTGTGAGTCTCAAAGAGACGTATGCAGAGTCAAAAGAGGTGGTACTGGAAGCTCAGAGGACGCCAAACCCAAGGAGTTGAGAAGAATCAACAGCCTCCATTTGGTAGGGAGAAGTAGAAGAGTTAACCACTCAACTGATGTTCTATCTAGAGAGTACTAATGAAAAGATTTTGTAGAGAGTTTAGTAAGGGTCAAGGAATGAAAAGTCCTGTTCCTGAAACATGAGGATAAGAATGCAAGAAAAGAAAAATAAGTAGAAGAGCTTATATAATAGATATACTACAGACAACAGGGGTCTGAGAGGTGGTACTTTTGGCCGACTGCCAAAAGTTTACAAGAATTGTTCTCAGTGTTTTTCAGGTGGATAGGAGCAGAAGAGAATAGAAAGATGCTGCCTGAATTAATCACATTCACAGCTAGATGGTCTAAAACAGGGTACCTGAGAAGCGGAAGCACACAAAATATTTTTGAAAAGTTAATATCCAATATTTTTTAAAACACTGAAATAGTCAACATGAGAAAAACAAGAATTCTGTTGGGATTTCTTACATTTGTTTTATACGTTATTATTGTTTTTATGTGTTACACAAACAATGCAATTCCATAATCTTGGAAACACCAAAGCCTCTTTATAGGACTTAGTTCTATACTTATACTGCAAAAGGGATTCTGTAGTGAGGGAAAACCCCAGCCTGCCTGGGAGGAGACCTAGGCAGCCTGGATTGATTGCCCAGGCTCTGGAGAGAGGTTTATAATTTGAGGTCCCTGGTGGAGCCACGTGGTTCCATATGGCTCAGGAAATGCTATCACTTACAAAGTTAAAGAAAACTCAGAATAAGAGTTCCAATCTTCCAGACCTCATATGCAAGCTCACACATTGGTAGGCAGGTTATGATTCAAAACTGTGAAGGAGGGAACTTGAGAAATGGCCCAACTCCACCCGAGATTCTGTCTATTCCACACTCCTAGCTCCACTGAATTAAGTTCAAAGAGCTGACATTTTCAACACACAGGACTCATTGCACTGTGGCCCCCCCACACTGATCTCACATTGTGAAAGATTGTGTCTAGTGAGAAAACAGCATGTGTTAGGCAGTATTGACTTTGGCCTTATCTGTCTTTGCATGAAAAAACATATATGACTGACATTCGGAACATCTGAAATAAACAAGCTTGACACACTGAGTGGATATGATTCCAGGAACACCTAGTAAGCTTGGTATTTTTGGCTATCTATGGAATCTGTGCATGAGAAAATGTACATCTTACATTTAATTATGAAATACTTGCAACAGCTAAAGAGCCTTGTGTTAGCTAGTATTAATTGGGATGCAAACGAGAGAAACTCATTTCAAACTAGACTGAGCAAAAAAGAGAAACTGTAAGTCCATTTTGCTGGGAAGACCATTATGGAATCAAAGTCTGGGGAGCCAAAACCTTTGAGACTAAAAATAGCATCTCCTAAAATATCAGATCTTTCTCTCTCTCCCTCTCAATCTCTCCATCTTCTTTTTTCTGTCGGTTGTTCTCTGATGGGTTTCTTCTAAAAAGCACATAAAATGGCCACCAGCAACTCTAGAGTCACATATATCAGGTTAAGGTCCAAATAGCATTACTACTTCACCTACATTCTGGGAAATTCTTGAAAAGAATTCTGATTGGCCAGGCTTCTGTCATACAGCATTTCCTTGGGACTGTGTCTTCAGGGTCCCAACCTGGGACATTTTTTCATCCCAAGGGGTAGAGTTGCAGAGCCATGATTAACAGTCTCACCAGGATTATGGAGAAGGGGAGGAGTTCTTAAGAGAACCATAAAATAAGGGACGGGAAGGCCAATGGGATAGAAATAAACTATAGTTACCACAGTTCACTACAGGGAGATCCCTGTAAGAATCCATAAGCCTTTAAGAATCTAGGGGCCCAAATTTGTTAGCATCATGTAAACACAATGAAACATTAAGTCTCTTTTCTGTACAAGACCCAGCAATAGGTACTGGAGAAGTAACCATGTACAAGATAGAAGCAGTCCCTGTCCTTGTCAAATGCACTAGCGAGTAACGTAGGCAATTGTAACATAGTGGGTAAAGTGTGATGAAGCAGAAACACAGGTTACACTGGAAATGCATAGAAGGGACACCTAACTCAGCCTGGAGAATCAGAGTAGCTCCTTGGAAGAAGTGACATCCAAGCCGAGATGGGAAGAAGTGGGTGGAGGGAGTGTTAGGGGTAGAGAAACTGGCAAATGCAAAAGCTAGGGCACCAGAGTTATAAAATAAAGTGAATGGGATCAGTCATGTCTCTCGTAAGTATATTACATCCATCTCGGAAGTCACTTGTGGGCCTCTCCGTCCCTTGGAGATAGAACCTCCAAATCCAAAAATCTGTTGGCATGCAGGGTCCTGTCCATGATTTTTGTGAATTGTGACCTTACTCCTACATGGTTCCCTCTGTTTTCATGCGTCTGTGTGTGCTGAATCCATTTGGCCACATGCCAACTGGTACACAGATATTTGTCTCTTGCTGTTTTCCAAAAGGAGCACGTTTAATGTAGACTGGGGCACGTGGAGAGGAATCCCAGCACGCACTGCTCTGCCTTCTGACATCTTGCTGATCATTCTGCCCTGCCTTCAGGGAGTCTGAGCCCTAAACTTTCCTACAATATTCAGACCTCCAGGAAATGTAATCTAAGTCCCCTGCTCATAGTACCTCTCATGGGAACCAGGCTTGCCAGGCTGGTCCATCTTCCATAGTTCCCGTGAAATTCTAATAAAAATTTCTCCATCTCATTACACTCATGATTGACGCATCCAAGACCCAGTCCTTGTGTCTTCCAAGGAAGGTATCTGTGCTGTCTCTGGGGTGCTGCACACGCTGTGCTGAAATCTCTCTCAGCATCCTGAAACAATCACCTGTTGTTGAAACATTTATTATGGAAAATCTCAAAAACAGACAAAATTATATAATGAATTCGCATGTATCCATTGCCCAATTTCAGCAATTATTACCATATGGCTAATCCTAACCAATCCCCAAACCACATTTTATTCATAAATAGTTTTAGTCTATATCTGCAAAATAAAAAGACTTTTTAAAAACAAACATATTCTACTTGGTGGAGAGTGGTGCTGATAACACCAGGGTCAAGGGTTTGGACCTTTATACCAGCCGGCTGCAAACAAAACAAAAACGTATTTTATTATTTTACCTGAAAGTTAACAATAATTCTCTCTTATCAAATATCCATTGTTCACATTTCCATCCATCACATAAATCATGTATGTTTTCTTGTTTATCATTTGTTCAAATCAACATTACACATTGTAATTAGTTACTAAGTCTTTTATGTATCTTTTAACCTATGGGTTTCCTCGTTATCTCTTCTTTTTACCTTGCAATTTGTTACTTGCAGAAAGGGAGATATTGGTCCTTTTGCATATTTCACAGCCTAGACTCTGCTAATTGCATTCCTGTGGTGTTGTTAAATGTGTTCCTCTGTCATCTATATTTCCTGCAAATTGGTAAATAGATCTAGAGGTTTAGCCAGATTCCTGTTTTACCTTTTTTTTTTTTTTTTGTCAAGACTACTTCTTAGATCTTATGACGTTCTTCCATCAGAAAGCAAATAATGTCTGGTTATTTCTTTTTTCATGATGATAGCAGCCATTGGTGATCAATAAATTCTTGTCTGCATTTCTTTAAACAGGGTCTACTCTGTGCCACTTCCAAAAGAATGAAATTGAAACCAGGTTCTGTGGGGAAGCCATTGCCACTTTATATTGTGCAGGTAGGAGACCACAGTAATGATTATGACAGTTATTGTTAACTGAGCTCTTAATAAGTGCCAGGCACTATTCATACCACATGGCAATATTATATATTTCATTTGCTCATGACAACAACCCTGGCATGAGAGTACCATTGTTATCCGCATTTAACAGATGAGAAAATTAAGGCTTGGAAAGACTGGGGAGCTTTTCCAAGATTACTCAGCTAATAAGTGGCAATGTCCACTTTCAAAGCCAATCAGTCTGTCTCCACAGTCCACGCTCTTAACCATAATGGAAAATAATACATTTGTTTAATGTCCTTATTTGGTCAAATAGCAATGCTATGTTTTTCTTAAGATTTATTCTGAAATGTTACCCAAAGAATGAAGAACAGAAATCACTGAGCTAGGGTCTGGTATCATAAAGATGAGTGAGACAAAGTCATTAACATTTGAAAGGCTGAAACTACCCTACAAAAGGCGAAATAAAGGGACAATTTAATGCAATTGTGAAGGTCCTAAATAAATTGCTAAAGCAGTTCAGAAGACAAGGAATTCCTTTCAGCAGGAGAATTATGGAAAATATTCTGTGAGAAGATAGCACAAACACATTCTCACTGCAGGTGAACCACCCTGGGGGACTCTCCCTCTGTTTTAACAGTGTTGCTTCTGCTAAAAAATATTTTAGGGTAATTTTCTGGGCCATGGCCACCAAGAAAAGCAATCTCATTAACTTGAAGTTTATTTTTTACTCAAAAATGTATTCTCCGGTTGGAGATTTCAATAATCCACTTTCAATCATCAATAGAACAACTAGACAGAACATTAACAGGAAATAGAAGACTTGAACAACAATGTAAGACAACTCAAGCTAACAGACATCTATAAAACACTCTACCCAATAGCAGCAGAACACAGGTTTTTCTCGAGTGCACAAGCAACATTCTCTAGGATAGGTCATACATTAAGCCAGGAAATAACTCTCAATAAATTTAAAACTATTGAAATCATACAAAGATACTCTCCAATTATAATGGAATAAAGTTAGAAATCCATATCAGAAAGAAATTTGAGAAACTTACATATATGTGGAAATTAAACACACTGATAAATAACCAGTGGGTAGAGGAAGAAATCACAAGGAAAATGAGAAAATACCTTGAGACAATTTTTTTCCTTGAGACAAATTAAAACAAAAACACAACATACCAAAATATATAGAATGCAGCAAAAGCAGTGCTAGCAGAGAAATTTATAGCTGCAAATGCCTATGTTAAAAAAATGAAAGATCTCAAATCAATAACCTAACCTTTCACTTTAAGAAACTAGAAAAAAAAAATCCCAAAGCAACTATAAAGAAAGAAATGATAAAGAGTACAGTGAAGGTAAATGAAATAGAGAATACAAAAATAAGAGAGAACCTCAACTAAAGTGTTTTTTTTTAAAGATCAGTAAGATTGGCAAACCATTAAATACTGACCAAGAAAGCAAGAGAGAAGACTCAAATTACTAAAATCAGGAATAAAAGTGGGTGGGCTTATTACTTATAACACAGAAATAAAAAGGATTATAAGGAAATACGATGAATAAGTGTATGCCAACAAATTAGATAACCTAGAAAAAATGAACAAATTCCTAGAAACACAAACTACCCAAAAAAAGCTCCAGAAGACATAGAAACTATGAATAGACCTATAAAAAGTAAGGAGATAAATTGATAATCAAAAAATTTCCCACAAAACCGACAAACTCATAACTAATTAGAAAAAGAAAAGACTCAAATAACATCAGAAATGGAAGAGGAGACATTATAACCAATGTCACAGAAATACAAAGAATTGTAAGAGACTACTATGAGCAATAATATGCCAACAATAGGAACGACTCTGAAGAAATGGATAAATTTCTGGAAACGTACAGTCTACCAAGACTGAATCATGAAGAAATAGAAAGCCTGAAAAGACCAATAACAAAAGAATCAACTTATTAGTCAAAAATCTTCCAACAAAAGTCCAGCACCAAATGGCTTCACAGGTGAATTCTACCAAACACAGAAGAATTAATATCAATTCCTCTTAAACTCTCCCAAAAAAGAAAGAGGGACTATTCCTAACTCTTTTTAGGAGGTCGGCATTACCCTGATACTAACACCAAAGACATCACAAGGAAAGAAAACTACAGGCCAATATCCCTGATGAACACGGATGTAAAAATCCTCAACAAAGTATCAGCAAACCAAGTTCAACAGCACATTAAAAGAATCATACGCCCTAACCAAGTGGGATTTATCTCAGGGATGCAAGAATGGTCCAACATACAGAAATCAATCAATGTGATACATCACATCAACAAATGAAGGCTAAAAATCACATGATCATCTCAATAGATGCAGAAAAAGCATTTGACAAAATTCAACACCTTTTGATGATTAAAAACTCTAACAAATTATGTAGATAAGGAACTTACCTCAAAACAACAAAGGCCTATATGAAAAGCTCATAGCTAACATCGAACTCAATAGTGGAAAACTGGAAGTTCTTTCTCTAAGATCTGGAAGAAGGCAGTGAGTGCACTCTTGCCACTTCTGCTCTACATAGTATTGAAAGTCCTAGCCAGAGCAAGCAGGCAAGGAAAAGAAATGAGACATCCAAATCAGAAAGAAAGAATTAAATTTATCTCTGCTTGCAGATGACATGACCTTGTAGATATGTAAAAAATTCTAAAGATTCCACAAAAAAACTGTTGACCTAATAAACAAATTCACCAAAGTTGCAGGATACAAAATCAACCTAAAAAATCAGTTGTTTCTACACACTGACAATGAATTATCCAAAAAGAAATTTAAGAAAATAATCCCATTTACAATAGCATTAAAAAGAATAAAATACTTAGGAATAAACTTAACCAAGGAGGTGAAAGACTCATACGCCGAAAACTGTAAAACACCAATGAAAGAAACTAAATCAAGCACAAATAAATGAAAAGACACATCATGTTCATGGATTGGTAGAATTAAGATCATTAAATTGTCTGTGCTATCCAAAGCTATCTATAGATTCAGTGTAATCTCTAACAAAATCACAATGGCATTTTTCTACAGACATAGAAAAACAATTTAAAATTCATGTGGAGCCACAAAAGACCCCAAATAGCCAGAGTAATTTTGAGCAACAGGAACAAAGCTAGAGACACCACAGCTTTCTGGTTTCAAAATATATTACAAAGCTGTAGTAATCAAAACAGTATGGTACTGACATACAAACAGACATATGACTGATAGAACAAAAGAGAAACCCTAGAAATAAACCCATGCATATACAGCAAACTGATTGTCTACAAGGGTGCCAAGAATACACAATAATAAAAGGATAGTCCCTTCAATAAACGGTGTTGGAAAAACTGGACATCTACATGCAAAAGAATAAAATTGGACCCTTATCCTACACCATACACAAAAATCAATTGAAAATAGATTAAATTTAAACTTAAGACCTGAAACTGTAAAACAACTAGATAAAAACATAAGGAAAAAGCATCCTGACATTGGCCTTGGCAATGATTTTTTGGATATGACACAGGCAACAAAAGCAAAATAGACAAGTGGGATTACATCAAACTACAAAGCTTCTGAACAGCAAACAACCAACAAAATGAAAAGGCAGCCCATGGAGTGAAAGAAAATATTTGCAAACCATATATCTGAAAAAGGTTAATATCCAAAACATATAAGGAACTTCCACAACTCAACAGCAAAAACAAAACAAAAACCTAAAAACATTAAAAAATGGGCAAAGGAAATGAATAGACATTTCTCCAGAGAAGATGTACATATGGGCAAAAGGTATATGAAAAAGTGCTCAACATCACTAATCATCAGGGAAATGCAAATCGGAATGACAAGGTATCACTTCACATGTGTTAGAATGGCTATTATAAAAAAGGAAAACAATATATATATATATAACAAATGTTGTCAAGGATGTGAAGAAAAGGGAAACCTTGTACACTGTTGGTGGAAATGAAATTGATGCAGCCACTGTGGAAAACAGTATGGAGGTGCCACAGGTATCACTTCACATGTGTTAGAATGGCTATTATAAAAAAGGAAAACAATATATATATATAACAAATGTTGTCAAGGATGTGAAGAAAAGGGAAACCTTGTACACTGTTGGTGGAAATCAAATTGATGCAGCCACTGTGGAAAACAGTATGGAGGTGCCACAAAAAAAATTAAAAACAGAATACTATATGATTTAGTAATCCCACTTCTGGGTATATATCCAAAGGAATTGAAATCAGAATCTCAAAGAAATATCTGCACTCCAATATTCACTGCAAGATTATTCCCAATAGCTGAGACATGGAAGCGACCTAAATGTCCATTGACGGATAAATGTAGGAAGAAAATGTGGTATATAAATGCAATGGAATATTATTCAGCCTTAAAAAAGAAGGAAATCTTGCCATATGCAACAACACGGACGAACCTGGGGAACATTATGCCAAGGGAAATAAGCCAGAAATAGAGAGAAAAATAGTACATGGTACCATTTATATGGTGAATCTAAAATACTCAAACTCATAGAAGCAGAAAGTGGATTGGTGGTTACCAGGAGCTGGTGGGAGAGGAAATCAGGGAGGTATTAGTTAACAGGTATAAGTTTCAACTACATCAGGTAAATAACTCCCAGAGATCTACTGTACAGCATAGTGCCTACAGTTAACAATATGTATTTTATACTTTAAAATTTGCTAAGAGGGTAGATCTGATGTTAAAGTGTTTTTATAACAATATGTATTTTATACTTTAAAATTTGCTAAGAGGGTAGATCTGATGTTAAAGTGTTTTATCACCAAAATAATAATAATAATAATAAAATAAGAGGGTGGAGGGAAACTTTTGAAAGTGATGGATAAGTTCATGGCATAGAATGTGCTAATGGCTTCACCGGTGTATACTTATCTTCAAACTTATTAAGTTGTATATGTTAAATATGTACACCTTTTTTTATATCAATTATACCTCAATAAAGTGAGCTTTATTTTTACCTTCAGGAGAGAGGGGGGAGAGGGCACAGGCAAAAGGAGAAGATGGAAATTTTTTCTTATTTGTCAAAACAAAGTATAATAACTTTACGTTTTACCACTGCTCCCCCACCTCAAAAAAAATCTCACAAAGAAAACCCCAGGCCGCGATGGCTTCATGGTGACTTCTACCCAACATTTACAGACTTAACATTAATCCTTCACAAACTCTCCCCCACAAAAATATGAGACCAGGACTTTTGATGTTGAGCCTCAAAATGGCTATGAGGCCAGAATTATCCTGACACCAAAACCAAAGACTTTGCAAGAAAAGAAAACAATGGATTAATATCCCTTATGAATATAGAGGCAGAAACTCTCGATAAAAGACTAAGAAAACTAATTAGCAACATATAAATGGATTATATATAATGACTAAGTGGAATTATTCTAAAAATAAAAAGTTGGTTCAAAATAAGAAAATCAATCAATGTAATATATACCACATTAGTAGAATAAAGGACAAAAATCACATGATCATCTCAATAGACAAAAAAAAAAAAAAAATCATTGACAAACTTCAACACCTGTTCTTGGTAGAAAAATCCCTCAAAAACTAGGAATAAAAGGGACCTTCCTCAGCCTAGTAAACAGCATCTGAAAAAATCCCACAGGCCAAGGGCCTAGGCCACGCCCCTGCCAACATCCAGGTGAACTAAGGAGCCCACCGAGATGCCCAGGGGTCCCGAGATGGGGCTGTATTCATCTGTTTTGTG